CAAACACTTGTCAAAGTCATTTGTCCTTTAATTATGTGGTCAACATCACCAAATTTCACTTAGAGCTTGATTGCACTTACAGGCGCCGAGGATGGATCCGGCCTTCCCGTGCGCCGGAAGAGCTCGAGGGAGAAGGATGCGCCACCGGTCGAGCTCCGTGGGGAGATGAAGAGGAGAGGGTGCCCCGCGCCAGCTATGGGGGAGAGGGAAGAGTCGCCGCAGGGGTGTGCGTCAGGTGGGTGCTGCCATGGGGAGAGGGAGAGGTGAGGGAGGACTCATGTTGATGCAGGGAATACCCCTCAAGCTCATCAATGGGTCATGACCCTCCTTTGTGCATTGGTTCATTAACTAACCATTCTATGTAAGCACCTGTGCTACTTTCAAGCAGGTGGCAAGCAATCAGATTTCCTTTTTCCATCTTCCATCTTTCATGTTTTAGTTCTTACTACGATGCTAAACCATAGACAAGCCGTACCGGATTTCTCGACAATTCACGAATCAATGCCCCCAGCTGGGTACCCCGAAAACACACGTCCCGCTTGTACCCAAGGCACAAGCAGGACCAACCCATCACCCTCCTGTCCTGGGTGTCCAGGTCCCCGTCCAAACTGGGACTCCAATTCCCCGCCCCTGAGTCCCGGACTCAGTGCGGTGCAAGAACCTCCTCCACAAAAAAAAACCCTGACAGTCGGTCCAGAAAGAGCCGGATCCACGACAAGAGAGCAACAAGTCTTCCAAGCGCCCATACCCAAGTATGTGCTCGGGATAATAAGTCTGTGACTTGTCTAGAGCCTTATGCAACGGCCAGTCCTTAACCGACACAGACAGGAAAAGCAGTGTAACCAAGCCATGCCCCGCGTCCACGAAGACACAACCTCTTACACCCACCAATATCCAAACCATATCCCTACCCAGTCACCATTTTCCTTTCCACCATTTTTATATATTCCAAGTGATAATAATCCAATAATATATTTCCTATCTCTCGCGAGTGACAGCCATCACTCGACTTCTACCGGAGTTCAGTAGCATAGCAATCTACACGATCCTGTCATACTAGTAAGACTCATAGGGTAAAGATATATATATGCAAGTGGGTTTCATTCAACTCCTTAAAACTTAATGCACAAATATAATTTAAACTACAGAAAAGTAGGAGTTATGCACCGGGGCTTGCCTAGGTAAGATATATATTAAAAAGTTAGTATCTGCATATTCAGATCATCCACCATCAACTGGATAGAAAGCCCATTTCATTATCTCCTGGAGAGAATACCATTACACCACCTTTGGATCTCCAATCATTCTTCAATTGATCCGTCGATCCATCATCGTACCTATATGATATGCATTGATGCAAATGCATAGATGTAAATAATCGACGACAGCCGAAATGCTTAGAAATCCGATTACGTGTCACAAGCCAACGAGATAGTTCTAATACTGGTCTATGTATCCATGTTGCCAAATAAGGCGTTATTTTCCAACAAATATTTTAGTTATACAAACCCAAGTTGTTTTTTATTTCATTCTATCGATTTAATATATATTCAAACTAGGACATCATTATCTATTGAGCAAACTAATTATTCTGGAGCTACAAAAATTACAGTGAGTATCTAATATTGCTAGGAGTCTAATGTAAAAATTTTAGATCCAACACTATTACTAATTTATCACAACAATTTCTACAAGTTTATATTTTTACAATATTAAGTACCTTAAATTAATTATATAGCTTCTAAGAATATTATCAAACTTGGTGCACAAAATATACTAACAGGTAGATCATGATTTTAGGAGACTAACAAAATTGGTTTTACAATTTTTGAATTCCTATACCATTTATATTGATTTTACAAGTTAAACTAGAAACCTATTTTAGGAAAGCATTTCGGAAAAGGAAAGTGCTAGCGGCCACTAACTGGCCCAGCAGATACGTGGCCTAGGCGCTGGAAGAGCGATGACAGCCTGACAGGCAGCCCAAAGCCCAAGTGCAGCCGGGCCGCAGCAGCAGCGTGAGCTGCCTAGCAGCCCCAAACGGGTGCGCGGCCCAGGCGGTAGGCGGACAGCCCACAGGCGTGCCCGACTGATGGCCTAGGCGGCAAGTAGCAACGCGCGGACGGCCCAAGCGAGAGGCAGACCACAGCCTAGCAATACTGCCCACGCAGTCCGACGACGGCATATTTGCGACGAGGCCCTTGAGTTATCCCCCAATCAACCCGTCAGTATGATGACACTATTCCTATGAGTGACGTATCTTGCAATAAAAACCCTGTAACATTCGCTAATTCAATTTCTCACCCATCAGCATCCCTGAGCGAGGCAGAAGAACAGAGGAGCACCGCCGATGGTCAAACCCGACCGGGAAGGCACGGCGATGGCGGAAGACCGTTGGTGAGCTACACGAGAACCCGCGTGCCTCGGGCTAGCCATGGCAAGACCCGAGCCGGCCCCCGGGGGCCTGCCCGCGAGAGCCGAGGAGGCGGGCACGCCGGCAGCGGCGGCACGAGGCGTGGTACGGCGACGCGGTGGCTCGGCGACGGCGGGCGCGGCCCTGAGCAGACGCTGCAGGGCAGGGAAGGGAAAGGCCGCGCTGCAGGATGGCTCCACGGCTCCAGGCGGGCCTGGCGCGCTCGCGTGCGTGTGGTGGCGGCAATGGAAGCGGCCACAGCGGCAGCGGACCAGACACGGCGAGGCGCTGTGGTGGCGTGGCCATGGCGGGGCGGCGCCCAGTGGCCCGACCACGGGGAGGTGCGGCGAGGCGTGGCGGGGCGATGCGGGACCACGCAGCTCGGGCGCACAGCGCGCACGGCGACAGGCGAGGGCGCAGGTCGAAGGCGGAGGAGATGCTTGAGAAGGACGGCGTCATGGAGCAGGCGAGGCGGAGCCGCGCACGGCGCTGCGGGAAGGAAGACGAGGGGGGGAACTCAGGACCCGCGCGGACAGGAGATGCAGCGACGGTAGCCCGACGAAGCAGGCAAGCAGAGAGAGCGAGGAAACAGCGTGGGCTTGGCCAGCTTGGAGCACCACGGCGACGGCGCTGTAGCAGAGATGGGGCGGCGCGCGACGTAGGGAAGAAGAGGAGGAGGGACGCCGGTGCTACGTGGAGGAACAGGGAGGAGCGGCGTGCTGGGGACCGTGGGATGCTCTCACGCGAGATGGGGAAGGAACCGATAGAGAGAGAGAGTGACCGAGAGAGTGAGCGGGGAGGGCGTGCTGAGCTAGACTCCTCGGCTGCAGAAAAAGAAATGAAGAGTACACGACAGGAGCAGCAGCTCGACCTCGGCATAGAGGCATACAGCAGCGGCAGGGAGACGTCCCGTCGATCAGTTCGCGTGCTAGTCCATAACTCAACCACGACAGCTAGCAGAGGCAGGCAAGACAAGCCACAGAGGCACGCAAGGCAGGCAAAGGCAGTAGAGGCATTTAATGTGATGCTAGGGTGAAGCGACGGAACCGACGGTTGGACGGTGGCGCATAGCGGGAGCGTGGACACGACAGAGCCAAGTGCTTCCATTAAAATTCAGACAAGACGCGAAGAGGAAGAGTGAAGAACGATAGTGGCAGCATCTGGCTGGCTGGAACGACGGCACGCACGCATTTAAAAGCGAACCGAAAACAACTTACTAATGCGACGAAGGCTCAAGTACACACTTTGATGCAACAAATCGTACCAAAACACGAAACTAAGATTTAGAAAATTTTGCTAGGACTCAAACGCCAAAAATAGCATTTTTATCTACTAAACTTGTACTTCAAACTTTTATGTAAGTATGAATTACGAGCTATATTTTATTTGGTTTATAAAAATTATTTTTATGCTCAATCCAACAGAACAAGCCGTTCGCCATTTATTGGATAGAATCGTTATCGGACATTTTAAATACTTTTACGCACTAAGTGATTTAACTTGGGCGTTTATTTGAGTCCATAAAACTGAGTTACACAAGATTCACTTATTGCTTCAAATACGTTTTAAATAAAAAATCTGAGAACTCGTTTCGAAAATTTTACTTAGGCCTAAATCGCGGTGCTAAACGAGCTCATAACACCAGAGGTGTTACACTCATAGGGCCGCGTCCGATCACCTTTGCCGAGCTGGTTTCTTCGCGATCTTGCGTCTGTCTTGGTTTCCATCTTCGTGCTTGGACTTTGCTTGATATTTTGGGTCTTCTCTTGTGCTTCTAGGTTCTTGCTTATGGTGTTGATCGTGGGATCTTCATATCACCTTCGTCCAAGTCATGTCTTACACCCTATTGAACTACAAAATAATTACTTACAAATTAATTAGTCCAATTTAGTTGTGTTAGTCATCAAACTCCAAAATTCAAAATAAATGGGTTTAGGGTCCATTTTCCTTGCACTCTCCTACTTTCTCGATCAGGTCTACCCCAAAAGCTAGATCTATGTCTAGTAATGTTCTGATACCATTGATAGATCATTAGGATCGACTAGCAGCAGATCTAGCGTGTATGAACTTGAATTTAGGATATGGTAAACTCTAAAATATGAACTAGTGATATGAAACACAGAGAGAGAGAGGGATGCGGTGTTAGCAAACCATCGGTCGCTTTGGAGGTAGACAAGCTAGCCATTGGGTCAGTGTCGGTGACACGGTGAAGGCGTAGAGTAGCAGTGGAGTCCGGTGACGGTGTGGACATTGCAGTGGAGGCGCGGTAGCAGAGGCGGCGGTGCAGACGCGGCGGTGGTGGCTTCCCGTCGCTGGCAGCGCCCTCTCTCTAGATCGGTTTAGGGTTAGGATGTAGGTGTGATTTGTGACGGCTCAGGTGAACCTTGTGTCTTGTGCCCCGGCCTCCACCTCCTTTTTATAGCGCTGTGCGATGGGGGCCACCAACCATAAGTAGGGTTGGGCGTCCTCGATCAGAACGCGGATCAAGGGCCCAATTAACCGTTGGGCCAAGTTGGTAGAGATCAACCTAACAGTCAGCGCGGGTGCTAATAACTTAATGCATTCATGTGTGGCACGTGCAACGCAGGTTAAATGCGACGGCAACGCAGCATGCTCCGGCCAGCCGGCGACCGTGGTCATGACCCACGAGTGCCCCGGTGGCGTCTGCCTTGCCGAGGCGGCTCACTTCGACATGAGCGGCACCTCCATGGGCGCCATGGCGAAGCCCGGCATGGCCAACAAGCTTCGCACCGCTGGTATCCTAAAGGTCCAGTACAAGAGGTACGTGACGGCCGAGCACCGAGACGAGCAGAATCAGACTAATGCTGTATTAATCTTGGTCGTAATTTCCTTCATTTGTTTGCCACAGGGTGTCGTGCAAGTACAGTGGCGTAAACATCGCCTTTAGGGTGGACTAGGGCTCCAACCTGTTCTACTTCGAGGTGCTGGTCGAGTTTGAGGACGGCGACGACGACCTCAGCGCCGTCGACCTAATGGAGGCCGAGTGCGGAACCTAGACGCCGATGGTGTAGAACTGGGGCGCACTGTGGCGCTACAACTCCAACACCGGCAAGGCGCTGAGGGCGCCCTTCTCGCTCCGGCTCACCTCCGACTCCAGCAAGGTCAACGTCGCCAACAATGTCATCCCCGCCAGCTGGAACCTCGGAGCCACGTACCTCTCCTTGGTGAACTACTACTAAATTACAGCTGGAGCGTTGAGGACTGCTTGCATCCGGGCTTTTGCGAGAGGCGGTGTCAGAAGATGAGGAGGAGGTTGAAGGATCGAGTTCTTCCCTCCCTCCACGGCCTCTGCGGTCGCCTAGTGATGCCTGAGCGTGCTGATTGCTCTGTAATTTTGTTTTCTTTTTGTCGTCCTGGCCCCTTGTTGCAAGAGCCGCGACCAATCACCAATGTTGCATGCAGATGTATAAGTTGTGTGAGTGTTCTATTGTACCATGTAATCCTTTCAGATAATTGAATTATTACTGCTATCTCATTGTCGTCATTATTCATGAGTGCACGCTATACTGACTTAAACCGCATAGTCAAATTAAACGTACTGGTTAAACCTTAATTTTGTGTCTTCTTTGAATGTGCAAACTGATGGTTTGAACGGCACTTGTACTTTTTGTAATGTGTGGCTCTTGATATGAGCATGCCTCCAGATTTCAATCGGACGATTCGGACTGGCTCTCCAACTGCAGAGTACCTGCTGACGCTCACCCGTGATGCAGAGCATCCGAGTCATGAGTCTTTTTGACACGTGAAAATCTCAAAGGAAACGAGAACAGAGCAGGGTCTTGAATTTCAGAAGAAGACCTGATAGATTGAACTCTGCTAGTAGTGCAAGGAATTGTTAGTGATTCAGCTCCACCGGGGTGTAATACTGTACAAATCTGCGTTCGAATCTTGCTTTTATGTACTCCATCCTTCTCGAAAAAAACAATTCTCCAGTCTAGATTAGTGTACGCCTAAAATTACACATGTGCCCTACTATATTCTTCTCCCCACATACTGATCCCATAGAGGCAATTAGGGGCTGTTTGGATCGTGCCCCGGTGAAAATTGGCTGTGCATGGAGCAACCTTGTAGACTGTCCCAGGCACCTCTACCAAGCCCAGGCTTAAGAAATCGATTGCTGGACTCCGGGCCACTTCTATAAACATGGTTTTATTTTTGTACTGACCAACTACTAACCAAACGTTGCTATTATTACATGTGCTCGAGCAGACAAAAAGCTTCTCAATCACAAGTAGCTGAAATAGCCAGGCAACTCATCCAGGTCGTAACCTAACAGACCCTCATTCAACCGAGGACTCATGTTGATGCAGGGAATACCCCTCAAGCTCATCAATGGGTCATGACCCTCCTTTGTGCATCCGAAGGTGCTGGAAGGCTATTGTGATGCCAACTGAATTTCTGATGTTGATGAGCTTTATGCCACAAGTGGATATGTGTTTTCGCTTAGAGGTGGTGCTGTTTCCTGGAAGTCTTGCAAGCAGACTATCTTAACGAAGCCTACAATGGAAACAGAACTCACAGCACTAGATACCGCTAGATCTGAGGCCGAGTGGCTTCGTGATCTCCTTATGGATTTACCGGTTGTTGAAAAACCCATACCGGTTATTTCTATGAATTGTGATAATTAGACTGTGATTACGAAGGTTAACAGTTCTAAGGATAACATGAAGTCCACAAGGTATGTTAAGAGAGACTAAAATCTGTCAGAAAATTGAGAAACTCCGGAGTGAGTAATAGCGTTGGAATATGTTCACACATCTAACAATTTGATAGATCAGTTTACTAAGGGTCTGTCACGCAATGTGATAGAAAGTGCATCGAGAGAGATGGGTTTGAGACCCACATGAATTTTACTATAGTGGTAACATGTTCTATGTGATCGGAGATCCCGTGAAGTAGGATGGTGAAATAAGCTAGTAGTAAATCTGGTCACAGTCTATGAGATTTGGGTGATCTATAAATACTCATGAAAGGTACTGGAGTATGACTTATATGCTTCAAACAGAGGGGATGCTTTTTACAGCCTAGTATCAGCTAAGGACTTTAGTTACATTCACCTCACACAAAGCTATCAATTCAAGGCTTAGTCCATCGTTCAGTTGTGACTGAGTGAAACTATTGCTCTAGATGGATGTTCAACTTAACAGTCTCAATCGAAACACTGGTATATAAAAGAAATGTGGTTCTGAGACTATTTTATTACAAACCCTAGAGTTTGGTGGGGATTGTTGGATATATTATGGGCTTAGCCCATATAATATTTAATAAATTAAATAAAACTCTATGGTACGTAACATTAAGCGTTGTATGGTTTAATACCGTACGGGATTTTGATTGAACGTTAACTCAGCTTATTTGGTTGAAATTATCCATTATAATTGAGAAGATGAGAAAATGACAAAGAGTGTACACTTCAGTGCTGGTCAGCGAAAGCCGAGCGCGCGATCTAATGGAGGCGAATTCAAGCGAGCAACAGGCGCAAGGGCCATGTTTTGCCACTTAATCCACATAATCATGGGAGTTTTCTCCTTTACGGTGGAGGCGAGGTAATGAACGATTACAGCTAATTACCGTCTCTTCGTGTCTCCGTCTCCTGGGTTCCTCCGCTGCCTTTCTCTCTCCCCATCGCAGCCATAAATCTGAAGTCCTCCGTCAGTCCAATTTTCTCCCTTCGCTTCCGAGAGACCACATCTCGCATGCAGATGTCGCCCTTTCTTCTTTGAATGCCCCTTTACCTCTGCTGCATGCACTCACGCTATAGCTTAACGGTCAAAGGAGAGTAGGTGCCTCCGAACTCTCGTAATGTGCGCTGTGAACCTTGCATAATACTGTGGGTGTGCGGCGATTAGGTTTTTGCATCCGGGAGCGATTCCACTGGCCCCCGTCTGACGCCTTCTTCTGGTGATCGCAGTTCACCGGGGTGTAATACCGTCTTCTTCGGTGACTCCATTCGTGGGAATGTCTAGATTAGTGAACACCTTCCTCGCATCATGTCCCCTGTGGTCCACGACTTTAAACAACGCACTATGTCGACTAGTGCGGATGGAGCCTCCGATGCCCTCGGCATGGGACCCTCCGCTGGGTACAATCTTAACTCTGTGATTACTGGACTTTGCACTTCTGTAAACATGGTTTTATACTGACAACTACTGTATGTCATACTTACATGTGCTCGAGCAGACAAAAAGCTAGCGTTTGTTAGTGATATACACATACATATATATCGTCATAAACCTACTGATGTTTTATTTGTGAATTAAATTGACCATAAAAATGTCTAATTACCTAACAGTTCTAGACATTATAAGTAAGGACGTAAGTGGGCTACCCCGTGAACACGAGAAATTAAGCGAAATTAAGTATATGGGTTTGTGGCCAGTCCACTTGTATCCCTAACTATAAGATGATTTCTAAAACATAACACTGGTTCTATTTTCCGGAAAATCACAACGTCACTATTTTTTTTACCAAAAAATAATGTGGGTCATTATGATTTTTTGTCATAGTAAGTTGGCATTTCGCATTCTATATGTGCAATCATCGCATGGCTGAATATACATTTCGCCACTTATATAGTACAGGCCGAGCAAACATGCTTCGCATATGAAAATCAGAACGCGATTCATGCTGCCTTTTTTTTTTTTTTTGACTTACTAGCGCCCGGACAGTGCCCGTGCAGCAAGCAAGCAAGTGCCCCAAGCAACATCGGACTTGCCAGCGAAGCGCCCCAGCAGCGGGCCCACGCCGCCCTAGACGTCGCCCTGCTCGCGCCCCCTCCCGCTTCACACACGCATCCCATTTGCAACACCCCTGATCTACTTTTGAAAATTTAGATGCAACACTTGCAACATATAAAAAGAAGACAGATGAAACACTTACAAAAACACCTGAAAAACACTTAAAAAACCATTGTAAAAATTACGCAACATCCAGATAAAACACATGCAACATATGAGTGAAACATATACAACATCTGAAAAACAGATGAAACATTGGGAACAGACGCTTGCAACATACGTGTACAACCATTGCAACATCTCAATCTACTTTTGCAACATATGTATGAAACAATTGAAACATGCATATGAAACAACTGAAACATTTAAAATATAGGCTTGCAACATGTCCGAAAACACCCTGAAACACTTGAAACACAGCATCGCCGATGTCCATGGCCTACTTGGTGGGAAACTGCGGTGTGGCTCAGGCCTCTCCTTTCTGCCGACGGCGCGAGGTGGATGGGGGCACAGGTGCAGGTGCAGGCACAAGCCTCCCCTACCTCCCCTTCCGCGACGGGCGAGGTGGATGGCGGCGCGGCAATGGATGGTGGCGCTCCCGATCTCGTGCTGGCACGAGCTATCGCCGCTCCGATGGAGAAGGCCGTGGCGGGTCTTGCGTGAGATGTCGCTGCTCCGGTGGAGAAGGCGGCCGGCGAGCTGGAGAAGGCCGCGGCGGCCAGAGGCGCGGTGGAGAGGGAGGATGGCGGGTGGCCAGGAGGCATGATGGAAAGGGAGGAAGGCGGGCGGCCGCTCGGGCATGGTGAAGATACTGGCCATCGGGGCCCGGCCGCCGTGGAGAACGCCGAGGCGGCGCGGTGGAGCGCGGTCGCAGCATAGCGCGTCCGCTCGAGCTGCGAGTGATTTTTTTCTCGAGAATGGAGACAACATGCTATGATTAGGGACGAGTGAGATACTACATCTATTGGACCGTTGGGCCAGTGTTGCGACCTGCGGACGAGAGGGTCTGGACGATTGGACGTCCTCCCGTAGCATTTCCGTTTTTTTTTCTGCGTTTCCCAAATTTTGTTTTCAGTTACCGCTCCAATACTAGACCTTCTGAGTTCTGACTGAAGGAGCGGTGGTATGAAAGAGACAACGTGCTCCTGAAGCACGACGCT